CAACAATTAATTTGTTGGCTATTTTACAAATGGGAATACAACGAATTCATGACAATGTTTACATTCAAGCTACCCGTAAAATGTATAGTGAAAAGTACTTTAAAAGCGTCTGGAATGCAATAAAGTAATTTTAAAGCTGTTTTTAAAGCATTTGCTGCATGGGTAAAAAAAAATAGGCTAATAAATAATTTACATATACAAAATTGCGTTGCAGCAGATCCTTTAAATTTTCAGGTATTCAGAACAGAGCAACATAAAAATCAGAAAAAGCTAAATATGTCCCTGCAGCGAAAATGGTGCTGAGAATTGCCGTGCTTTACAAGCGATTCTCGCTTGAAGTGTGAATTTCCGCACACAAACATTGTTGGCCCTGCTAATTCCGCACCGGCTTCTTTGCAGTATTTGCACAGCATGACATCTTTATCTCAATTGTATTGTAGCCATGGAAAAGCGTCAAGCCATTCATTTCGGAACTTGTACTGTTTAAAGTTACCTGTCACTGATATTTTCTGTTTCTTACAAGGAACAACAGCACCGACTTCTTGTTCGTCTTGTTCTTTTTCTTGTTTTTTTGAAGCTACTCTGTTCTGCCTCATTTGAGACCGAACTCTTAAAGTAAAATGTGATGCTTTTCATCCCAACTCAGCTTTAATTCAACGCCACAGTCGTCACAAACTTTTTCGCGCCGCTTGCTTGGGTGACTGGAATTAAAAGCAACCAATCACAATGCGAAACGTCACTGTTGATGCGTAACGTACGTGTAAGGGCATTGGGGAGTTGTAGTTTTTAGCTTCGATCGGGTCAGTCGTACAAGTGCGCCTAAATATTTTTTCATGGTCGCACACAGTAATTTTTTGTCGCAAATGCGACTGAAATGGTCGCACTGTAGAGCCCTGTCAGGGCAAAATTTGATAAAAAATTAGCCTTCCCATTACGAGGTGATATTTGACTCCTTAAAGTGATTTACAGTGGAATTTTGTTTTTACCTTTGTAATGGCATTTTTCTAACTTTATTAAAAGTATGTCATCTTTTGTCAAATTTTTTAAAAAATTATATTTTGTTATATTATATATTATATTATATATTTACAAGTAGAATAAAAACAAAAAAAAAACAAACACTAGCTTTCTATTTTTTCTATTCTATCTACTTGTTTTTCTTTGTTCGTGTGTGTGTATAATATATATATGTATGTGTATATATATATGTATATGTATGTGTGTGTGTAT